GAAGCCGCCGCCCGTCGGGATCTGCACCCAGGGCCTGTTGTGCCCCCGAGGGGCTCGCTGACCTTTGGGGTGCGTCCTACGAATGACAACCCGCTGGCCCTTGTCCACCCCCTCTCGCTCCCGCTCCCGCTCCCGCAACGGCGCGAAGCCTGGAACGCGGGCGCCACCGGGCTCGGCGGGCATTTTCCCGAAAAGCATCACCTAGACGCCGCGTCGCTGGAAGCTGCTTGTGCGCACGCGCGCCCGAGAGGGCGGCCCCCGCTGGTCAGCGCTTTTCGCTGCTGCGCGTGCGCGGGGCCGAAGCGGAAGCGCCTCCAGCTGGAGCCCCACGAGCCGTGGCCTGGCCTTTGTCTCGGCCTCCCGAGGCAGTGGGTTGAAGACTTCACGTTGCTCCTCTGCAGAATCGAGTGACCAAGTGTAGGTGGGGCAGGCGTCGGTCTGCAGCTGGCATCACATGCCCCCCAACAAAGCTCCCTTGGCCACCCAAGGGCTTAAGACCAAACGTCCCAGCCCAGACTTCTTCCATCGTTTGCAGTCTGGACCTAGCGAATCTTTCTGTCATCCTTTTTTTTTTTTTTGAGTTGGAGTCTCACTCAGTTGCCCAGACTGGAGTGCAGTGGCCGCTCCTGGCCACCGCAGCCTCGACTTGCTGGGCTCCAGAGAGCCTTCCGCCTCAGTCTTCCAAGTAGCCAGAACTACTTGATTTATTGTAGAGATGAAATCTCACCAAATCTCATCAGGCAATTCACTCACCTCGGCCTCCCAAAGCGCGGGATTACAGGCTGAGCCACCGATCCCGGCCCCCGTCATCCCTCTTAGGCCACTCAACTCCAAACGCCGGCCAGCCCCTCTGCAAGATCCCCTTTATTGAGCTAAGCCCGGGTGGTAAGGAGGCCTCTCTGAGGACTCGACATCCCCACAGTCAATACCCCCTACGGGGCTCTCAGTGCACCCAGACCCCCACCAGAGCTGCTTGTTTTCAGCTACTGGACAGTAACCAGGGGTTTCCAAGGGCGTTCATCAGACTGCAAGCTCCTGGAGGACAGTGCGCAAATCCATCTAACCTGACATGACCAGCAAAGTGTGTGCTTGGTGTTTACTGAAAGAAGAAATCTCTGGCTAGCTTGGCAACAGATTTATTAGTTCAGAGTAGAAAGCAAGAGTCCAAGTGCTTTGATTTTTCGATAAAAACTGTCTCTTGACGGGAGAGCTGCCAACCTGCCTTCCACCACTCTCCACACAACTTGCCCTACTGTTAAGGCACTTGAGAAAAGGGGGAGCAGGGAAGTCTTAGATCAGGCCTGCTTTGGCTCCCAGAGAGCCAGCTCCGCTGCTGGTTCCCTCCAGCCACAGTTGAGCAAGGAGCTGGCAGAGATATCTGCAAGGCAGGAAGGCCAGCCCCTTAAATGCTGGTGTCAGGCACAGGGACAATGCCCGTGCCACAGAGGGATGATAACAGGAACATTATTTTGGATCAAAGTGTAATCAATCCATGATGGAAGACTTGATAATAAGGCCTTGTGGTCTCTAAGGCCACAGCTCCAGTCTGCTCCTCTCTCTGGGAGAGTACTAGAAGCTGGAAAACGGGGATAGAAGGTCCCCACAGTTCCCTACTGAGAGAAGGGAGCGACCATCAGTATAGAGGAAGAGTTTGAGTCCCCCTGGCTTCCCCCCTTTCCAGAGAAGTTAATGCTTCTGCTTAAGCACCTCCAAAAAGAGAGAGAGAGATATTGCCAATAAAAGAATAAAATGCGCCCCGGAGGAAGACATCACCACAAGAAGCTGGGGGCAGCTGGAGCACAACCCCCCCACCTGCTGCAGCCAGAATCCGTAAGTGCTTTGGGAGGGGCTTCCATCTCCTGCAACCCAGTGCTCTGGGCAGGGCAGGTGTCACCCCCTTACGAGCTGATCTGACTCAGAAGGGCTGAGAAGTCCATGTCAGCGATGGAGGAGAAGTCTTCATCACCTGAGAGGAGGCCATTGGCGAGCCCCGAGGCCCCCAGGGGGTTGGGAGCTGGGTCAGGGGGCCTCTGGGACCCTGTCACCAGGCGGGTTATAGCCTCAGGGTATTCCATCAGCATGGGCTCAGCTGTGTGGGAGGCCATAGGTACACCCTGGTTCAGCAGCTGCTGGAACTCAGAGTTGTCGACAGATGCCAGGTCTGTGAACACAGCTGGGTCTGTGCTGTTGCCAAGCAAGGCCCCCAGGTCGTCCTCGGCATCGAACTGCAGCTGCAGCAGGGCCTCCGTCAGTGTCCCCTCCCCGGCCTGGGAGGGCTT